TCTCTCCTCTCATGCCGCCATCTTTAATCCGAATCTAGCCTGTGTGTTTTAAAGGTTTGAAGAAATGGAATCCTTTCCAGAGTCTTTTTGAGAAGACAATATTCATGATGTGCATCTTCCCATTACAGATGATGATAAAGAAGCTGAATCTCTAGCATCTCTGTTAGGGCCACCTTAAAGAGCTGTGAGAAGGCTCTTTGATGTATTGCAGCGTGCAATTCTTACTCAAGGTTTAGATCAATAATCCAACATTTGTTTAGTGAATAAGCCTCTTTTTCCTGCTGTTGTGGAAACCTGGCTCTGCATGGTAATTTTATTTAGGCTTACCAGCTGTGAGAGAATCCATTTGTTTGTGTCTCAGGACAAGATGTGTACCCACTGTAGGAACTGTACTAAAGAGTCTGAAAGAGTATGTGGGATGAAGGGAAGGTCTGAATTAGTGGGATGAAGATGGCAGCACTTTTAATGTTGATTGAGCTCGAAGTAGTATTTGTAGTTGGAAGATGGTGAAGAAGGAAGAATCGGGCTTTAATATGAAAGGTTATGTTTGGATCTATGTGTAACAGGCATCTTTTTTTCTTTTTAATGGGCTGTGGTTTATGATGGTAGCTAGTTAATTTTGGTAGCTACTTGAATTTTGAAATTAAACTACTTTGGCTTTATCAGAGTATTCCTGACACATGGTTGCCTCTTCTTTTTTCTAAATTTTAAAAAGTATTTATTTCTTTATTCTTGTTTCCAATACACTGATATGAAGATGGAGTTATTCTTTAAACATATATTACATTTCATGCTTATCAGCTGTACTTATGACAGGTAATAGCAATGAAAGCATTATCAGATTCCTGAATCTCATAAAAACAAGTTGTACTAATGTTTTTTACTCTCTTAAAATAAAGCACCTAATATTTTTTTTGTACTCATGTCTTCATTTTGAAGCTGCCAACATTTTTAAATTAAAAGGGAGAAAGAAAACAGGAAAGGGTTTTTGAGGTCCTATCCCTTCATTTTGTTGAACCTTAAGTTTAGAGAGGTAAGTGTTGCAGAGTTAGTACATGGTAGAGCTGATGTAAAACCTAGGTGTAGGGACTTAAAAATCTAAAGAAACCAAATTGTCTTCCTTTAATAGTTTCTCTGAGTGGCGCTTGCCGTCTTTCTGCATAGTAATGCATAGCCTTTTCTTATAGAAACAGAGGATATTATCTATTAAAAGATAAATTTGATTTCTATATGAATTCATCTTCACCAATTGTCTAAAATGCCCTGCCTTAAGGAAAAGGCCCTTGTGTAACATTTCTAAGCCTTAAGAGTTATTTTGTATAGTTTCAGTTCAGTTTTATCAAGCCATCTAAGTCACTAGCAAATTTCTAGTGCTATAGAATAGGATATCAACACACAGGGACTAAGGAATAAATAAACCAAGGAAATAAAGTGGGCCTTTTTTGAACCATGAAATAGCATAAGGAAGGCTGTTTAAGTGGATTCTGAATGGAGAGGAGCACTCTGATTCTTTCTCACAGATTTTGACAATTGTATCTTTATAGTTAAGATCTGTCTCAACTTAGGAATTAACACGAAAAATGTATAGAGGATCTTAAACATGGGTAGTACTTTTCTGGAAAGACTTGTAAACAAGGAAAGGATCTCTCAGGAAAGACTGAAGCACAAGAAGAGGCTATGCTTGGTTCTGGGGCCATGCAAATCATTAAGATATATATAGGAAAGAAAATTTTGGTGAGTAGTATTTCCAAATGGGTCAGCTTGGTATTTGTCCCGAGGTTTGCATGTTGGTTTCTTGTATTAGAAGTTAAGTACAGTTTTACAACTCCCAGAATTGTTGTATTTCTTCCAACTGGTTTGGCTATGATTGGGGGACCTCCAAATTGAAATCTCATTAAAAAGATCATACCAAAAAGAGTGATTTAGGTTTGAAAAAGTCAAAGGCTGTATTTTAAGTTTATTTGTATTGATAAATATTACATTAAAATATGAGGCTAAGCTGCAAAATGTGGACCTTGAGAAAAATATAAATGATTTCATACTTAATTCCTTAGCAGAAAATTGGCAATATAAGCTCTGATTCATTTGATATTTGTGTTCCTGGATTGCAAAATCAGTACTTAAAGGGAAGAGAAAGAATAGAAGTGCCCTGGTATTTATTTTTTGCTTTATTTTCCCATAGATTTAAATGCTACAAACCACCTTGAGGATTCTTAGCTCCATTCTTTTATGGTTATATTTCTCTTACTTTTTTGTCCCCATCATTGTGAAGGTACATTAAAACCACTGTCATCATAGCAAGTTCTTATATGGTGTTTACTCTGTGTCAGACCTTGTTTTATATGCTTTACTCATTTAATTATCACAATGAGCTCATTTAGGCAGAGATATGTAGTGTATCCCAGGATCATACAGCTATTAAGTGATGGGACTAGAACTTGAACCTAGCCAGTTTCTGTGCTTCTAATACTTAAACTCTATACTTCCTTTCAGATGTAATTTCCAGGTTCATTCCTATGTAATGCTTGAATGTTGAGGGTTTTGAGGGATGTTATTAGACTCCCACACTCTTGTCCGGGCAATTGAACCAGTCTCTCAACTTCCAGGATAGAACTCTATATCACATAAGCCTGTAATTCATCATAGTCAAGAATACAGAATAACCATTTGGGGAGTGTGAGGAGGGGAAACTTGTGAACCAATCATATGGTTTTTCTTCTTTAGTCTGTTAATATGGTGACATACATTGGTAGTTTTTTAGATGTCAAACCAACCTTGTATTCCTGGGATAAAATCTACTTGGGTATGTATATTACCTTTTTTTAGTACAGTGCTGGGTTTGATTTGCTAATATTTTATTAGTAATTTTTACATCCATGTTCATAAAGGATATTTGTGTGTGTGTGTGTGTGTGTGTGTGTGTGTGTGTCTTCTCTTACAGTGGCCTTGTCTGGATTTGGTATGAGTTGGGATCTGTTCACTCCTTCTCTTTTTAAGGGCTTGTGTAGGATTCCCACCATTTTCTTGTTTGTAGAATTCAGTGGTCTAGCCATCTGTTCCTGGCATTTCCTTTAGGGAAGATTTTAAATTGTGAATAACGTTTCATTAATAGGTATAAGAACATGTTTTTTTGTGAGTTGTTTAAATAATTTGTGTTCTTCAGAAGAATCAGTTTCACATAAGTTGTCAAATTTATTTACAAAAAGTTATACATAATATTTTCTTGTGATATCTGTAGGATCTATAGTGATGTCCCTTTTTGTTTCTTCATATTATTGGTATTTTTCTTTCTTTCTTGGTCACAGGTGTTTATTAATTTTATTAATCTTTTCAAGGAACCAACTTCTTCTTTGTTGATTTTTCTCTTGTCTATTTCTAATTCTTTGATTTTCACTCTTATTTTTTTCCTTTCACTCTCTGCCTGTTTGCAGGGAAGTCTAAATAATTGATTTTAGACTTTTCTTCATTTTTGATATAAGCATTCAAAGCTATAAATTTGCCTTCATGCATTGCTGTAGCTGCATCCCACAAATTTGACATATTGTATTTTCATTTTAATTTATTTCAAATATTTTCTAATTGTGATTTGTTGTTTAACTCATGGGTTATTTAGAAGTATGTTTTGTTACCAAATATTTGGAGGTTTGCCAGGTAGTTTTCTATTATTGATTTTACTTTTCTGTTATAGTCAGAGGACATACTCTATATACTGTCATTTCTTTCAACTTATTGAGACTTGCTTTATAGCCCAACACAGAAGGTAAAATGTTCATATGAATTTGACAAGAGCATATTGGTCTAGCATTCTTTGTCAGTTGAGTTGATTGTTAGTGGTACTAAGTTCTTCTATACCCTCACTCATTTTCTAATTGTTATTCAGTTGCTAAGAGCAGAGTGTTCAAGTTTCCAGCCTTAATAATGGATTTGTCTATTTCTCTTTTCAGTTCTGTAATACTTTGCTGCATGTATACTGAAACTCTGTTATTAGGTGTTACTGTTTTATTGACCTCTTTATCATTATATCCCTCTTTATCCCTGGTGATAGTCCCTGTTCTAAAGTTCTGAAGTCTCTTTTGTCTGGTACTGATATAGCCATTCCAAATTCATTATGATTAGTGTATGCATGGCATCTTCTTCTCTCCTTTTACTTTTAACCTATGAACTTTATACAGGCAGTTCTCACTTCACACTGTTCCTTGATATCTGAGATTTGATCTCAGTTCAGATTGTGCAAATTGAGGACTGCTAGCAATTTAAAGTTGATTTCTTGAAACATGGTAGCTAGTCTTGTGTTTGCTTTATTTTTCCCGTCTGAATACTCAGCCTTTTAAGTGGGGTATTTTAACTATTTACATATATTGTAATTATTGATACAGTTTGTTTTTATTTGTCTCAGTTTGCTTTTCTGTTTTCATTCTTTTCCTGCATTTGGATTAATCCTATACTTATAGGACAGTGCAAATATTGATTTATTAATTATACCTGTTTGGTTTATCCTTTTGAAGTTGGTCTAGAGTTTATAGTGTACAGCTTTATCACAGTATACTTTCCAATGCTATTATACCACTTGATACGTAATTTAAGAATTTTACAGCAATATACTTGTATTTTCATTTTCCTCTTCCCTTCCTTTGTTCTATGGTTATCATAGATTTTATTTCTATAGATGTTATAAACCCCACATACATTGTTATTATTTTTTGCTTTAAATAGTCAATTATCTTAAAAATTCTTTTTCAAACAAAAAAATATATCTTTGTTATTTATCTACATATTGAATGTTCCTGGCAATCTTTATTCCTTTATGTAGTCCTCAATTCTTAGCAGTTATGGATCCCAATTTGAAAAATATTGCAATACATTATAAATGTCTAGTACTAATAAAGTAGCCAGTATTATGTCTGGGGAATGGGATTATAATGGCTTTCTGGTTATTTTTGGAAGTTCTGCCTGTTTTTTTTTCCTTCAAAATTTCTGTGTTTGTTTTTCATTACATTTAGAAGCTCCCATCAGGACTGAAGCAGACGTTCTGGCCGAAGACCAGTTTCTTCATAACAGTACTCCTAAGAGACCAAGTCAAGATATTAAAGTGACCGTTAGAAATTTCTCAGAAGTCAAGCATGAAAATCAAAAGAAAAGTTTTAAAAGGATAAACCCTAAAAGGAAAAAAGGTTATCACAACTATCAAACATTATTTGAACCAAGAACTCACCATCCATATCTGCTGGAAATGGTAAATGATTTTTCTTTACATTCTATTTTTGTGTTTTTCTCATTTGTGAAAATAGAGTTCATGCATGTGTGCACATATGTGTGTTTAAAGGTCACCAGAGACATGCTTCTTGAAGAATCATCTGTGTATCTTAATGTGGAAACTGCATTTGGCACAGGGCTATGTTCAATAAATGTGGCATAATAATTTTCAGAACTGCTTAAAAGAATCCAGGTTTAACTGGGTGGTAAGGAAAGATGTATTGAGGTGTAGTGACATTTTTAAAGTATTCATTGAAAGCACAGCTAAATTGGATGGTAGGCTGATGGGAGAAAAATGAGCTTATTTTGTACATGATTGGTTTTATTATCAGTATGGTACGCTAAAAAATCTGTTACTTTTCTTCGGACTATGAAGAGATAGCAATACATATTTTAATTCTGAGTAGTGGACATGCAGCTCTTCAAAGATCCAAGACTTTTTTAGTGAACTAGTGAACTATTGGCATTTGGTGTAAAATCTGTTTTTTGTTTTTTTTGATTTTTTGTTTTTGGCCTTGTCAGTTAATGCTTCTGCTGTAGCTAAAGTGTCCTGTGGCTATCCTTTATGAGGCATTTCATATAGACACAGTTTTTTCTTATTAAAATTAATCTGAAATGTTATTTTATAAATTTTGATGTCATATAAAATAAATTCCATGTTTTAAATGTTTATCTTATAAGTGATAAATTAAGTCACTTTTCCATTGAAACGTCCTGTATAGTGTTTCTGAACTACATTAGTGACATAAGAAAATTAATTGGGTAGTCAGTCACTTTATTCTTTTTGGTAAATCACGATTCCTTGATTGTGAATCCATAAATAACAGGGATTTTTAGCTTTCTTTTCATTACAGTAAGTACAAAAATGGGAAGTTAAAAGAGTCCAGGAATGTTGGGATTTTTAAAATTGTTAATTTTACTATTATTATATATACTGTATCTACCAATTTCTACACTGACTATAGATTTGGGTTTGGGAGGGGTCCTCTTTGACATGATCTTTAGATTAAAGGATTGTAGACTTTAAACCCATTTTTCCTGTCCCTTGTTAGATACTCCTAGAAAGGACCCCAAATATGAACTTCTGTGTTGTTTAAAGAGCTAGTCTTGGTATAAGTTAAAAGAAAATGTGCTTGTGCAAAATAATAAATATAGTATACATCTTTACTATTCGGTGTTCTTCACATAGATAAGGCACACATGCTATTTTAGACTGTGTTTATTGGATATATTTTGCTTACCAGCTTATTTTTTTTATTTACTGTTTTTTAGCTTTTAGCTCCAGACATTCGACATGAAAGAAATGTGATTTTGCAGTGTGTTCGGTACATCATCAAAAAAGACTTTTTTGGACTTAATACTAATTCTGTGAAAATTAAAGATAAGTAGGTCTCTGATGTTTCACCATATGTAACTGAAGCATGTGAAACAGTAATATCCTCAAGTTAGTGGAGGAAAACCTTTTTTTAAAAAACTGGATTGGTCATTAAATTATAAGCCTCTTAGGATGTTATGGCGGATTTTCAAGTCTTTCCTTTGAATCTATGCAAATAAATACATAACTGATTTTTAAGACTGTGTCTTTATTGTTGGACTCATACTTAATTTTTGTTGACAGAATTCTACTTTTTATTTGTATATATTGCTGTTGTGTGAAGAAGTCTGCTCTTGGACCATCTGAGAACTGAAGGGTTTAGTAGTAAAGAGAAAAGCTTTAAAAATGTTTAATTCAGCTGAGCAAAGTTGTAGGTTGGGGAGAGAAATACAGTCATTTTATTTTTAATGCAGGAGAGTAAGAGTCAGTCTTATTTATTTATTTTATATTGTAACTTTTATTTATTAATTTTTTTATTTTGATATAATTAATCTACAATTACATGAGGAACATTATGTTTATTAGACTCCTCCATCATCACGTACCCCCCACAAACCCCATTACAGTTACTGTCCATCAGCATAGTAAGATACTGTAGAATCACTAATTATCTTCTCTGTGTTGCACAGCCCTCCCATGCCCAACCCCACATTATACATGTTAATCATAATGCCCCCTTTCTTTCCCCACCCCCCTTATCCCTCCCTTCCCACCCATCCTCCCCAGTACCTTTCCCTTTGGTAACTGTTAGTCCATTCTTGGGTTCTGTGTTTCTGCTGCTGTTTTGTTCCTTCAGTTTTTTCTTTGTTCTTATACTCCACATATAAGTGAAATCA